TGGCGTCGTCGCTTGGGTGTGCTTCGGCAAGGACCTCTTCAGCGGCGCGAGCGCGGCGCCGGCGGCGGGCCGCGACAGCGACGACGAGGAGGACTGCCGGCACCGCGACGGCGACGACGACGAGGACGCCGTCCGGGCCCTGCTGGGCGCGCCGATGCGCCGGCGACGACGCGACGCCAACGAGGCGCTGCCCGTCGAGTGGAGCCGGTACTAAAATTGGACCGACATCGTCATCGATATATCTCGCTGACTCCAGCTTGAACTTCAAGTTGAAGCATGCGAAGGCCTTCGAAGTGCACGAAGGCCTCGGCATGCGCGTCGAGCTTCTGGCACTCGCCATGCATTGCTACGGTGGGTCGCGCTGCCGGGCCTGCTGACGCGGACCCTCGCGCTGGCGGCGGGCCGCGGCGGCCGCATGCCGAGCCTCGCGGACCGGCGCTCCGTCAGCGAGGAGCAGTGCCGCGTGTGCCTGGAGACGGGCAGCGTCGCCGGCGCGGCCTACGACCAGGGCCTCGCGACGTACCGCGTGCCCATGGCGCTCCACGCGCTGAACCGCGCGCGGCTCTGCGAGGCGCTCTCGGCGGCGGGCGCGTCGGGCGTCGTGCTGCTCGAGGGCGGCGAGCAGCAGACGCGCTACGACACGGACCACGAGCCCGTCTTCCGCCAGGAGTCCTACTTCCAGTGGCTCTTCGGCGTCGCGGAGCCGGGCTGCTACGGCGCCGTGCGGCTGAGCGACGGCGAGGCGACGCTCTTCGTGCCCGACCTCCGGTCCGAGGCCTACGAGATCTTCTGCGGCGCGCCGCCGGCGCTCGCGGACTTCGAAGCGCGCTACGAGGTCGAGGCGTGCCGGTTCGTCGACGACCTCGCGCCCTGGTTGGACGCGGAGCTCGAAGGCGGCGAAACGCTCCACGTGCTCCGCGGCCTCAACAGCGACTCCGGCGACTACGCGAAACCCGCGAGCTTCGCCGGCGACGACCGATTCCGCAAGGACCGCGACGCGCTCTTCCCCGTCATCGCGGACCTGCGCACAATCAAGACGCCCGCGGAGATCGAAGTGCTGCGCTACGTGAACTACGTCTCCTCGATGGCCCACTCCGAGGTCATGCGCGCCGCGAAGGCCGGCATGATGGAGTACCAACTAGAGTCGCTCTTCCAGCACCACACCTACACGCACGGCGGCTGCAGGCACATGGCCTACACCTGTATTTGCGCCTGCGGCCCCAACCCGGCGGTGCTGCACTACGGGCACGCGGGCGCGCCGAACGCGAGGTCGATCGCAGGGCAGCAAAAGAGAGCGAAATTCCCAACTTCAAAGGCTCCGAGCTCGGCCGTTTTCCACTCGTTTCGGCTGATTTTTGGACGAGCGATCATCTCTCGGAACGGTCTCGAAGCGTGGATGCTTTTTTGGAACGCGCGCGCGCGGAACACTCACGTTGAAGCGACGTTGAATCACTCTTTTGCTGCCCAGGTTGATCGGAAACGGCGAGACGGCTTTGCTCGACATGGGCGCGGAGTACCACTGCTACGCGGCGGACATCACCTGCAGCTTCCCCGTCGGCGCCGAGGGATTCACGCCGGACCAGCAGCTCGTCTACGAGGCCGTGCTCGCCGCGCAGGTCGCGGTCTACGAGTCGCTCAGACCGGGCGCGGCCTGGCCGGACATGCACCGCGCCGCGGAGCGCGCGGTGCTCGAGGGCCTGCGCACCGGCGGCGTGGTCCGCGGCGACGTCGACGCCATGCTCGACGCGGACCTGGGCGCCGTCTTCATGCCCCACGGGCTGGGCCACCTCATCGGCCTCGACACGCACGACGTCGGCGGCTACCTGGACAAGGACCCGCCGCGGAGCGAGCGGCCGGGCCTCTCGAAGCTGCGCACGGCGCGCGTGATCCGGGAGGGCATGGTGCTGACCGTCGAGCCGGGCTGCTACTTCATCGACCGCCTGCTCGACGACGCGCTCGCTGACCCGAAACAGGCGGCCTTCGTCGACGCGGGCCGCCTCGCGGCGTTCCGCGGCTCCGGCGGCGTGCGGCTCGAGGACGACGTCGTCGTGCGATCCGACGGCGTCGAGAACCTGTCGATCTGCCCGCGGACCGTGGCGGAGGTCCTGGCCGTGAAGGGCGGAGGCGCTTGGCCGCCGGCCGTCGACGCGGCGCCCGAGCTGCGGCGCGCCTGGGTGGTGCCGAACCCGGACGTCGCCGGGGGGGCCATGCGCCGCGTGTCGCTAACGTAGTATCTAGGTTTCAGATCAGTCTACGATGTAGCTTACTGAGTACTGGGCCTTGGTGCCGTCTAGGAGTATCTCGGTGAATTCTTGGATGGGCTCGACACCGGGGCTGAAGAGCCCGGCTCGCACGGGGTTTCCCAAACGCGCGCCTCAGTCGAGTCCGTGTGTGCTGTGCTGTGTGTCTGTGTGTCTGTGTGTGTGTCTGTGTCTGTTGCGCGCGTTCAGTTGAAGTTGAGCGCGTAGCGCTCGTTGATGGGCAGGTCGTCGATCTTCTCGCGCTTGCGCTTCTTCGTCTGCTCGACCTCGTCGACGAGGTGCTCGTCGCCCATGAGGTAGACGTAGCTGAACGCGAGGTCGTCGGCGGCGATGATGTCGTCGACGTCGAGGTCCGGGTCGTCGAGGAGCGACTTGTCGAAGTACTCGACGCAGAGCCGCCCGAGCTCGTCGTCGTTGAAGACGGAGACGATCTGGAAGTACTCCTGCGTCTTGACGTCGCAGATGGTCCGGCCGAGCAACGCGCGGACGATGGTCAGGGCCGGGATCGAGTGGTCGTAGACCTCCTTGGACAGCACGATGGGCACGAAGTCGTCGAAGTCGTCGGGGATGGAGAGGTCCTTGAACTCGAACATGACCTTGCCCTTGCCGCGCTTCGGCGTGCTCGACTTGACGGCCTCGCTGAGCGTCGACTTGGCCACGCCCGTCGCCGTCGCCGCGGCCTTCTGCGAGCCGACGACGATCCAGTTCGCGGCGCCGACGGCGCGGTAGGCGACGGCGTGCTTGGCGCCGCCGCCGGTCGCCGTGCCGTGGTCCTTCTTCATGGCCTCGTTCTCGGCCGCGGTGCCGAACCGCAGGTTGACGAGGCGGCAGTCGTGGCAGTCGCCGTTGACGTGCATGACGACGGGCTTGTGCAACGGCGGCCGGCCGTCGAAGGTCGTCTTCACGAGCACGTGGAGGCCGACCTGTTTGTAGGCGATCTTGAGGCTGAGGTAGCGGCCGGTCTTGGTTGGTAGCCGCTCGCGCTTCGTCTCGTAGTCCCGCACGCGGCCGTGCGAGGACACCTCGACCGACGCCCAGGGCGCCGGCGCGCGCTTCCAGCGCTCGCCCTTGATCTTCGTCATCGCCGACGCGTCGCGGAAGACGAAGTAGTGGCGCCCGCCCTTGACGACGTCGCCGCTCGCGATCGCGTTCT